AGAGAGAGATGAGGCTTGCTTATCGGTTAGCCTTACCGCCGCAGTTGTCCGGAGTGCATGACGTGTTTCATGTGAGTATGCTTCGGAAGTATGAGCGATCCATCGCATGTGTTGGATTGGACCGATTTAGAGGTAGATGAGGATGCCTCGTATGAGGAAAGACCGGTTCGGGTCTTGGATAGGGGGAACAGGTCCTGCGTGGCAAGACCATTCCTTTGGTGAAAGTCTTGTGGAAACATCACGGAGTGGAGGAAGCCACTTGGGACGTGAGTTGGAAGTCCGTGAGAAATATCCGGACTTTGTTTGTTGATTGTAATCTTGTATTTAGATTTTGAATATTGTTGAATTAAGAGCTTTTATATATATGTCTTAAGTTGTGAAACATTGAAAATGTTTGGTTTATTGGAAGTATGTTTTGGAACTTGCCTCATATGGAAGTTAAATGTAACATTATATATGTTGAATATGTTGTTGAAATTGGATAGAAAATGGTAATGTTGATGCATGTTAAAAGTACATATGTTGTTTACATATTGTGATATGCCTCTTGTTAAAGGGGGGGTGACCGGTAATGGGTCGGATTGTTGAATGTTAAAATGTAACATTGTTTAAAATGGAGGAAAACTGTTTTTGAAAACTTGTGCTTAATTTCGGGGACGAAATTCTTTAAGGGGGGGAGGTTATAGCGATCCTGGATTTACCCTTGTTGTACAGTGATCGGACATGTGTCCGTAGATGTTGGTAGTTGATTATTATCTGTTTTACATCCTTTTTACTTCGTATTTGAGTTGTAGGATGTGTTGGGCAGGTTTGTTACAGGTTGGTTGAGTTTAAACCAAAAACTAGTTGCCCAGATTTTAACCTGTCCGCTCGAGGGGGTTTTGGCGCTCGAGCGGGAATTGACCCATCCAGTTTTCCTGTGCAGTGTTAGACGCTCGAGCGTGGAGTTGGCCGCTCGAGCGGGGCTGTGTGAGTGACGCTCGAGCGGGAGTTGGAAGCTCGAGCAGAGACCTGGTTCTGTAAAAAGTTCTGGGAGTGTGTATCCGCCGATCGAGCGGATGGTTGACGCTCGAGCGGAGTCTGTGAGTGACGCTCGAGCGGGGTGTTTGCTCGAGCGGGTCGACTGGGTTTAAGTTCCGTGTTTTGACTTTTCAAATACTTTTTCACTTTCTCTTCTCTCTCCTACTTTTTCAAAAACACCATTGTTGAGCCTCTCACTCATGAACTCTACCTTCTCTCTAGGTTTTGATCTAGTAGGAGTGATTTGCTCACCTTTGGCCTTTACAAAAAGTTGTTGATCGTCGAGGGCTACATTTTAATCTGAAAATTTCGGATTTGGAGCACGTTGGGTTTTGTCATCTTCCCTTGAAGCTCTGAATTTGAGGTAGGGATATCTACTCCTCTCTATGGATTGTCTTTAAATTTTGGTATTTTGAGACGTTGGGGTTGGTTTGGTAATCTTGTGAAGATTTGGGGCTTTTGTGTTATTTTACAAAGGTTGGGTTTTATTTATAATATATAATAACCTAGATGCATTGGTATAGAGAAGACAAATGGATTAATGTTGAGCATTGAATGAAAATGACCTAAGGTTGAAAGGTAATTATGGAAAATGACCTAATTACATTATTTGATTAATTTGTGATGATTAATTGTGAGAATGAGGAAATGAAATGGAATTGTCGAGATTGGGAATGTATGGGGTTAAAGGTGTAGTTGAATTATTTATCACTCACCGAATTGAAATGTTGATTGAATATCCATTGTGCATTTATTTCTGTATAGAGATAACTGCTTTGGGCTATCGGTGGAGGAAGTCGTGATTGTTGTAGACAATGCATGATGATTAGGCAAACGAAAACTAATCAATGGAATGTGTCATGGAATTTGACGGTTGATAGAATACATTAACTGTATGTATGAGTGATTGTATATAGAACCAATGTGTTTGTATATATGTGATAGAGAGGAGATGGGGGATGTACTCCGCGTTTAGGGAAGATAGGGATGTACCTCTAAACCGGATAGTGTTGGAGAAATAGGGATGAACTCCGTAGATACAGCTCATATGCTTGTCTAGAGAAGTGAAGATAGAGCTCATATGCTTATCTTTGTAAGTGTGGATACAGCTTATGTGCTTATCTGTGAATGTGGGATATAGTTTTATACATATCTGTTGAAATGATTGATAGAGCTAACCATGCTTATCTGTTGAAGAAGAGAAAATGAAAGGCAACTTGGACTCATAAGTCGTGACATAAATATGTGATTTATGTGGATGTATCAGTGTGGCCATCTATCAATTGCTAATCTTTTAGTATTGTTCATGGTTGTTTAGTGTATTTCTACTGGGCTGTGGCTCACCCTATATGGGAATATCATTTTCAGGTACAGGTAGCATGCCACCTCCAAGGACATAGCTTGGGAGGCTAGAGGCGGACATACCTTTTGTCGTTTTATTTTGATGTATTACATGTAAATTCAAGCCAAGGCTTAATGTGTAAACGAGTTAGTACTCTTTTGTTGTAACCAAGTGTTAACTTGGAAAGCTGTAAGTCCGTAGGGCATTTTGCTTTTTGTTAACATGTAATACTTTGTAATGAAACTCTGAGAATAGAAGAATGTGTTATTTCATATGTCAATGAATGTCTTATTTGATGGCTTAATGTTATTATTTTGAGGCGTTACAATTACCAAATTCATTTACTTAATTCTATTTCAGAGATAACATGCGGAAATAAACTCGTATTCAACTCGTAGAAGTGAATAAACATTGCTCTCATTCGTATGCAAGTAAATACAACATGAGTATAATAAATAAATTGCCCTTGGGCTTACATCAATAACAACAAATCAAGAAGAAGGGTGCAACCCTTTTACACATATGGCATTCTGCCCATATAAGAGAGGCCCTGGGCCAACAAATCAGAAGATCCAAATCTTGCAGCACATTCAGCTGAACACCTGAAAAAGATCAACAACGTGGATCAACATATAGTCCAGTAGGGATCTCAACGTGACCCTCAACAATAACAACATACAGATAGCTATGATCATGAATACCCAATCTCATACTAGAATAGTAATGTGACAGTTTATACAAAATATACATAAGTATGAACTTTTTTTGAAAACAACCATTTCAATCAACGCCATAGGCGATTTAATTTTCTTTTCTTTTCATTAATCCCCGTTCCCAATCTTTCATAACATTAACATTACCTTAGGAAACAAATTCACTAAGCCCACTACTCTCTTCCATTTTCCTAACATACACAGATATGCCTTTTCAAAACATATATCTCCTTAAAATATCCATTCTCCTTCATTCATTCCAAAAGACAAAAATGACATTTTGGCTTCTTCCCGGTACAATCAAATCTAGACATGCACCATTATAAAAAAGAGATAACAACTCACCAACATGCATAAGATAAACCAATGAGGCAACTCGGCCCTCCAAAACCGTAATCAACACAATCCATGATATTCCCAAACACACTGAAATATCAACAACAAAACCAAAACCAAAACAAAAAAATAGTTTTGTTTCGAATTAGTTCTTGATTCCAAGAGTTCTATCTAAATTGAACATAATGATGATCAAGTTAATATTATTAAAACATTAATCAGTATTAAAGATCCATAGTTTTATCAGAATAATCTCACAAGCATTACAAAAAAAAAAATCAAGATTAAAATAGAACTTGATAAGCAGTACATAGCATTCACATCCACAATATCATAAAGAAGTGCAACAAGGCCATTAAGCAACAAATACCATTTGGAATCTCAAGGACACATACATGCCCTGAATCTACCATTCAAGTGCAGCAAGCAACTAAGAAAGTCTACATACAAAAAATCCAAGCCTAATGATATTTTCATAGATTCACCAAATCCCTGAAATATTCAAATAAAAAAGTATCAAAGAAAGAAAAATAGTACTATGCATCAAAGATTGAAGATTCGAATTTAATAGACAACCAAAGACCTTGGCGCTCAATAGGGCATTCTAGATACGCTCGAGCATCACTCACTTCTTTAGCAAGAACTTGATACACCTTCATTCGAGAAGCATCACTCATGCCACTAACCTTCTCAATCTCCTCAAATAATTGTCCATTTGTGTAGTTCCGAAGGTTACCACGATCAAGTGTTGCTGCAACTACATCTAGACCATCCTTAATTAACCTTATTTCCTTACTCAGAGTATCACCTGATTTATTCTCTCTTCTTTGAGTTAGAGGAACAAGATAATTCAGCAGTTTGGTCATCTTGAGTTCCAATTCCATCAAAATTCTCTAAGAGTGACTCTATCTGATCAGTATTTTCATCGTCCAAAAGAATTTGTTGCCCAGCCCAACGAAGTCGCTTTTCTTTTGGACCTATAACAAGACTCCCAGTTGATCGATCCTTTTCGAAGAGTTGACATAACTTTTGAAAGTTTTGAATCGGAGCATGTCGAAACTGAGAAGCTTTAGGCTTTGCCTATAGAGAATAGCATATATAATATTATATTAAATAATGATGAATAAATATTTTAATTTTCTACTACAGAATTACATCAATCTTGCAATTAGATATACCTTGAGGTAAGTTGCCAATACACCTGTTGTAGCTTCAATCAATTGTGTTGAATGATTATATCCAAATCCACTATCACTTGTTAACATATCTTTAGCCATTGCAAGATTCCTTTTTAAAGTCTTCAATTGATTCTTTACATGACCGAAATCACAATGTACACTAAACTTGGTACTCACCTCATTGCTTGCAGCTCTATAAGCCGATGATGTAAAACTACCACCAATTTTTTGCCCTTTGAGCATTTGGTCCAAGAGTGAGTCGATAAGAACAACATCCATTTGATTATTCCATTTCAAATGTTTCTTGTCAATTTTTACCGAGCATTCTTGGTCACCTTCCACCTACACTAAAAAATGCCATAAAACATATCAGAAGAAGAGCATAGCTAGTAGCAAATTATCACCCAAACAAACGCAATGTTTCACATAATACAATAACAAATTAAAATTTAATTCATTCCAAGATAACATTCAAATAATAATAATTAACTTGTCAATTTTTTGTTTTATCAGGAAAAGAAAAAGATTATATTGATGTAAAGCAAATGAGTACATAATGGGTACATTGCAAGAACAAGAACAAGAACATCAAATAACCCTTCCAGCCCCTCTCTATTTTCCCGGATCTATATTGTAATTTGATTGTCATTGAAGATTTATATCATAATCCCTCCACATGTCAGTAGCTATTCATTCCCTTAACAATTCTCCTTCTCTACATTCTTCAGCTAAACTTGATCTAGCCACGTTAGTTTGCACTTGTGCTCTTCTAAGCTCTGTATCAACCTCCTCAATAAGACTATCATTGGGATCAATACCCATGAGGTGGTTGCGCAAAATACAATAGGCCAAAACAATATCTGCTTGAGTGTCAACATCATAATATGGCTCTATCCCACTTCCTAAAATTGGAAACCTTTTCTTTGCACCAAAGGCTCTTTCAATTGCATTTCGCAAAGATACATGACGAAGGTTGAGAAGCTCTCGAGAATTTTTTGGTTAATGTAAAATATCTAATATTCTCGAGTGTGAAGCAAATCCTTCCCATCCCGAAACGATATATGTAAACTTTAAATCAAAAGAACATGTAGCCAAAGCATTTTGAGTGGGATAGTATTTTCGTCCTCGGTATCTTTGTGCATCCTTGTTTGGTACTCTTACACGAAAATGTGTACCATCAATCGCACCAACACAATCCTATAAAAATTCATTATTTGTATCCAAACATATAATATTATATACCCTAATTGCATTCATGTAACTATCTTAAAATAAGGTCAATACTTGGGATTGTTTCTAATCTCTGGAGGGCAGTTGAATCCATCAGGTTGCATTAAAAAGATATCTTCCAATGATATAATGGCTTTAAGAACTTGATGAAAATGTCGACTAACAGTCTCACCTGATCGTCTGTAAAAGAACTTGATCGTACGGTTCCTCAAATTATTGCCAATTATATGAAGGAATTTTGCAACTTGTTCTTCTACCTTACTTTGAGGATTGTCTCTAAGAAACTGAGTTCTTTTAAGCATGATAACTAGTGTGGCAAACACATCTTTGCTCATGCGTAACTGGCTACGACAATTTGCATCTTCCAAAGTCATTAGCCGTTTAATTAGGACATATCTTTCATAATTTCCTTGTTCTGAAATTGACTACCTTATATGATCATGACAATGAAGAATTGAGACTAGGCTAACAACATATGAAGCATACATAGCTACGCAAGTGGCTGCGCACTTTCTATACTTTTCCCACTCCTCTTCCATAAAGTAAGAAAAACACCCAGACAGATGAGTAACCAACAATCAAATTAATCCCACCCGAGAAATCTTCTAAACAGCAGCCACCTCACCTACAAATAATAATCACAACAACCAAAATCAGCCTAGAAATCTGATTCTATAATATATATATATATATATATATCTATATAATAAGGCAAGAGGCTTTTTGAAAATGTCTTAAAATGTATGTGAGATACATTTTGATCCAATGGATTAAATTGTCTCATCCCAACTTCAATGGTTGAGATGTCTTTATTTCCCTCTCTCTCCATCAATGGTTGATGAGGAAGAGGCTTTATTTCCCTCTTTGAGCATCAACGGCATCAAGATCTAATGGTTAGAAAATCTCTCTCTCTCTCTCTCTCTCCTCTCCATCACAGGTACTCATCTCCTCTCTCTCTTTCATTTCAATTTTTGAACTCTCTCTCTCTCTCTCTACCTGCATCGGAGCCCATCCCGTGCGACGACCACCGACCATCGCGACGCCGACGACCACCGACCACCTCTCCTCTGTGTGTCATCCTCTCTCGACGACACCACCAACCACCTCCTCTCCTCTCACCCTCCTCTTTCGTCCCTCTCCCCTTGCAAAGTAAACTAGAACTTCCAACTTGCTATTCCGATTTGCTGTTCTGATTTTGAGTCTGACTTTGAGTCTGAATTTTTGCTTGAATCTGATTTTTGGTTGAATTTTTGAATCTGATTTTGAATCTGGCTTTGAATCTGAATTTTTTATTTGCTATTCCAATTTTGAATCTGACTTTGAATCTGACTTTCCACGGGCATAAACTGAATCTGACTTTGCAAATCATAATTTCAGATGTAGCAGTAATTCCTTTTCAAGTCACCACCCTTTTTATCCAAATTTCATCTAGAGTGACTTTGAATCTGAATCAGACTCTTTTTAATCCCAACCCTTTTTATTCACATCTTTTTAATCCTAACCTTTTAGATTTAGTACCTTATAGGACAGTCCAAATTTTTTACTTTATTGGAAGTCCAATTTGTTAGAACATTTAATGATACAATTGATGATCTTCAAAGATTTCATTGTATTTATGAAGATGTGTGCTTTTTATAGTAGGGTATAACTAGAATTGGTAGTGCTCAATGTACAAGCATCAGATGTGTGGGAATATTTTTCTGTCAAAGTTACATGTATGGAGGTTTGTCTTCTTTAAAGTGATGCTCTCTATTAGTTAGTAGGTGTGTCTTTATGGTTACTAATTACTAAAAAGTGAACTGTATGAGTTGCTACAATCTCCATTATTTAATTTTCAATGTTGATAGCTCAGCTCATAAATTGCAGTGGTGGTGTAATATTTGAATACACAACAAGGGACAAAGTTCATCTGTAACAGTGGTGCTTTTTAAAGAAGGTTTATTGAAAAAATATGTGATTTTGTGGAGTGAAAAAAATATGTGATTTTGTGGACAGAATATATTGTTTTTGTCCATACCTCATCATTTTTTTCCTTTTGTATTTTGATTTCAGTTTCACAATTTGAAACTACCGCATCTATTTGAGTCTCATCTCTATGTTCATTTCATCTCATCTCAACTATCTCTCTCAATTACAATTTGTTATTTTGATTTTAAAATTTTCAATACTTATGTTTCTTATGCCTGTAGATTTCTAGTTTCTCATATTGAATTGTATTATTAGTTTTAATTTTTTTTTAATTGACATCGGTCAAAATATATTGTTTCTTTCCATACCTCATCATTTTTTCTCTTCTGTATTTTGATTTCAGTTTCACAATTTGAAACTACAGCATCTGTGTGTTTCTTATGCCCGTAGATTTCTGGTTTCTCATATTGAATTGTAT